ACTTCAGGCTTAATGATAATGATACAACATTACTTTGTCTATATTTTGACATTTTATTTAAAAATCGCACACGGTTTGGACGGTTAATGATGTGAATTAAAGTCTGGAAGTGCGTACAAATGAAATATCCCACCTTGATTAATTTGATCATCGTCTGAAACTACAGTTCTGTGAATTATATGCCGTATTATTGCACGGATGCTCATTATGATGTAGTTGAGGGTAACAGTCTGTGACATCACATGTCTGGAAGAAAAGACAAAATCTTTCCCCCTCATTAATACGCATCTTTTTATTAACACAATATCACATTTTGTAACTCCAGTATCCCCCGTTCATCTCCTCACATGCCTTCGCTCTATTTTGGATGGGTGACATAGGCAAATTAATAATCCTGTTGTCATGGCAACATCTTCCAAATCCACAGAGCGAGACTGAGTTAGGAAAAAAGTCAGGAAAAGAGATTTTGGAGCGATGGAAATCATTTAAATAATCACGATAAGACATTCAAAAGGGATTTTCGGGCCCTTTGTCAGGGTTACAATAGCAGCAGTGAGTTTACATTAATCCACCGAGGAGCTATACGCCTGAACTCTCGCCTAATCAAGAAGTTTTTATCCAGAACCAAAATGTCACAATTGTGACCAATTAACTCCTTCAATATCCGTAGTATGAAACCAGAAGTAAACGTGGTTATTATAAACTGATCTTTAATCGAGTTCAGTCTATGTCCAATCAAGTGTAGAGCTCAGAAAGAGAAAGCTCTGATAGCAACACAACATTAGTTCTCCCGTGTGACTAAATAACTATACATTCGGAAGCTTATTTGTAGCATAATACAAATGGAATTATGTAAATTTAATGTAATATATAGAATGAATATTATTCAACCTTTTTTTTTAAACCGATGTAGACATTTTTTGCTTTTCTAGAAGAAGGCAGTGTCAGTCACATGGTCAGTACAGGTAATCAATGAGTTATGATGGGAGGTAACACTGCTGCATCCCAACCAGGAGGTTCTGCCTAGTGTTCTTTTGGGGTGGAAATACACCCAAAGAAAAAACCCTGGTTACTGATGGTAAAATGTCTACAGAGGTTTCATCAATGTTTCGTGTAGCCCTGCATCGAACTGGTGTAAGCTGGGATTGCTGAAATATTCTTAGGTTTTATTATCGTCTTTAAAATAACAATGACTCATGTATTTGCTACAGAAATATTGTGAATATGGAACATCCAACAATGACACAAGTTGCTTTTTTACTCCAACTAAAAGGTCTTGATTGCTTGCTTGGTTTCACAAGCCTTTCGACACGCTCATATGGTTCTGCGGTTATCCCACAGGTCATGACAGCATAATCAGCAGCTATTATGTTGACTCCTGTTTTAAGTTGTTGTTTGTCAAGTCTGAGCTCTCACATGACCTCATCCTTACTCGTATTGGACTTTAGCTCATGATATCATCTGTTTGAGCAGTTCGTCATCCGTGTGTTCCTGCACCACTCCTGGCTTCCCATCACAGCGGTTATGTCATTTTCCCATGACTAAGGCATTCTCTGACTGGATTGTTTTACCTTGGCCGGGTCAGGACATCCAGAGACGGATCAACAGTGTTTTGCAAACACCTGTGCGTGTTCCCATTGGCTGGGGATTCAGGTGTGACTGTTGACTCACCAGAGACTGAACGACTCCGGAATCATGCCTAGCAGTGTGTTTTATAGAGGGCTGTAAAGACGTATATAGCTTCAGAATAAACTGCAGCAGGAGAGTGTAAAACAGGAAATATAGACTGTACAGTGTGTGTCATAACTCATGCTTTTAAAGGCAAACAGAGGAAATGGGGCATTTCATTCTGACTTCATAATAATTTCCTGTTTTCAATGTAGTAAAACAGTTTAAAGCAGGGTTTCTAAACTTGTAAATGCCACAAACTGCTAAATATGATTATCCATCTAAGAAAGAAAGTGCAGAAGATATCTTTATGTCTGCTTTCTTAGCTGTAAGAAATAATGTCATAATAATGGAATATTCTTAGAAGTTTGTATTATTTACTCATTCACCTTTGTTTTAAAGTTTATATGTTTTGTTTGTTTTAAAGGCAAACCCTTCTTTAGGACAATTATATTTGTTCTGTGAAAACATTTCAAATATGAAATCTACTTGGTCTGATCATCGCTAATACTACAAAACCCGTAATGCGCCACTGGTGAATAGCTGCAAATCCGCAAAGCGGCTGGCTAGAGGAAACATCAGAAGACACGATAAGATTCAACGTCTCTGCAAGTACATGGCCCTGGACATAGTCACAGAATCAGTGTCTCTTTAAAGGAGGAGTTGAGACGTAGCTTGTCCCCACTTCACCCCACAGTTGGGCGGTGTCTGTCCAGGTCTCTTCTAAAGCCAGGGAAAGTTCAATTAATCATTTTCTTTTTTTCCTTTCCTTTATCCAATTAATTCCTAGGAAAATAGTGGGGTCGGTGGCCCACCAAAACATATAAACCCAGGGGAAACGCTAAATTATATATTAATTATAAAGACCTTTTTTGATCATTAGCATTTCCGTGAGACTCTCCATTTCAAAAAATTCTGATTTGCTGACACATGTTTTTTGAAAACATCATCAGCTCGGGGGTCAGGTCAGATGTTTGGAAAAGACCACATAAACCCCCTTTACCCCAGAGAACGAAAACCTCTGAATCCCTGTGTAAACACCTGAGAATGACTAACCCATATCTCATGACAAGGCTGCATTGCTCCGAGCTCTGCGTCCTGCCTGCATTCTCCAGGAAATGAGGCATGATGCGTGCCATCACCCAGACACAGCCCCTCAGGAACCAGGAGCACAGATATAAAACAGACTGTTAGCTTAACACACACCAAAGCTGGGTCACAAGGAAAGGGTCAGCTTTCATATGATCGTAAACTACCCTGACATCATCCTCAGGATGCATCTCTTTCTTTGTTCTTTACCACTTTAAATGATGTGTTGCGTTGCATGGCCTTTAAAACGTAAAGCTGACACTTTAAAAAATGGACTATTATCCCATTCTAATGGATATAGCATGGCATGAAAATGTTTCTCTTACTGACTGACCAATGCTTGTCACCTTGACACACCGGAGCAGAGGCAGTTTGACAAGCTAACCATTTATAATTATCCATTAATAATTTAGTTTCTGCAGACAACTGCCTAGAGTGATGGGTAAATTAGTGCTCATGCACGCAAGTGGAAATCGCATCGTGTGAACTACCAAAAACGCTATCGAGAGAGTCAACAAATAGTCTTGAGATCTATCGTTAGAAAATAACATCTTTGATTACCAGCAGCCAATGACACAGAGTTGGGGAGGAGTTATACAGATATAGAAAGTAATATCAACAATGGCTTTGGATTAAAAAAAAAAGCTTCTTTTTTTTTAAAAATCCTGCTGTCTCATGGCTTTAGTCAAAGGTGGTCCATCCAGCCATTTCAAAGATTCTAGAAAGAAGTTTTTTTATTGCCATAATCTTACAAACCGTCCAATAAGTTCAGTGCATTCTATCCTCCTTCTATCAAAGACTTAAATGGTCATAAGACCTTTATTTAGGGTTTGCTTCATGTGATGGACTCAGGTAATTTCGCTGTCTCAAAGCAGACCCAACTGAACGGGTCCACAGTATGGCTTTATCAAATAAAAAATCTGTTCAATGCATCACAAAGTTATCTATGACATCCTCAGCTAAGTTTGTCTTTAGATAAAAAAGAACACACAACTTTGCAGACATATGCCATGGACACATGGACGATTTAGTTTATCACTAATTACTATCGGTATTAGTAATTTTGGTTCTAATAATTCAGGATGATTCAGCAAAAATGTAACTTTAGTTATCCCAACACATAACCAATGCCTTAGCAAGTGGCACCAGTTACAGCCGTTTGTAAACACTCTAAAGCATATAAATCCAAACAAAACAACTGACAACACGAATAGTGCCTCTAGAAACCTCAAGTAACACCAAAGAGCATACAAGTTTACTAAACGGGAAAAAATAGATTATTTTGATGCCGCAGAGGCAGACATCATAGGGGTCACATGTTAGTTCACAATAAATAAATCTTGACGGGACGCTGACTGACATTGAGCGCTAAACCTATTTTCATTCTGGAGACACTTTACTAGTCCTCATCGCTCAAGGTACTGACAGCTTACTGTGACAGAGCTCTCGCCATGATGAGTGTTCGACAGGAGACTGCTGGAGACTATCGCCTATGCCCCAGAGAGCTGCCAGACATGGCTTCATATCAAACAGGCCTGAAGGAAGCCGAGTGTGTCAACACAGCCCCGCACACCTCACTCATTCAAGCGCTAATGGATGAAGACGCCTCAGCTGTCCTACGAGAGGGAAATGGAGGAAAACACATAGTGAACATTAAACTCCATTTCCCACCAGGCATCTTTTTTCCTGCACCAAAATAACAACAAGGGTGACAACAACACAAATATATTCTGACAGTCTCGTACCCGGGTGAGTTTTTAACAGAATCAACCATTTTTGGTTAACCTCTACAGTCATCTGAAGTTGTTTTCCAGTATAAGGCATGCTTGCCTGATGTCGAAGGAGTCTGATGATGCTTGCAAGGATAAAACATGTATCTTAGCATGTTGTCCATTTCATTATCTGAACAGATGATGTCTTTCCATCACTCAGGTACCTCGTCAAGTCTTTGCTATCCTCCTCTACTGATTACTTTGTTCTACAGATATAATCATATCCTTTTATTATCCAAACTTTCCAAAGGCACACACACACAGAAGTGCTAACTTTTAGTACTTGAATTAAGAGAGGTGTCTTTCAATAAAAGTCCCGGTGGTGCCCAAAAGAGGAAATCCTGTATTCCCTTTACCCCACTCAGTTTGGTGGGTTCCTGGAGTAGAATCCCAAAGCACTACATTTAGCAGAAGCTTTTATCTAAAGTGACTTACATTTCAATCAAGCAAATACCACAATTTGTCAGTTATTGCTTTCACTGGGGTTTGAACCCATTACTTTGGCATTGCTAGTGCAATGTTCTACTGGCTGAGCCACAAGAAAGATAAAAAGGTCCCGACTTCATAGCATCATGAATTACTCACCACATGGACTGCCAGTCTGCCAGGTATCTTCCCTGGTCCAGTGAGTTCACTTCTTTTGCTCCACTTCTCACACATCTCAATTTTAGGGAGTGATTCCCCCATGTCACAATATTCTACATATGCTTCCATTCCAATGGTCAGAATTCCTCAATCTCCTAAAGCTACTTTGTCCTGATCCATAATGTTGATGTTAATGTTGTCAGATGGGAAATGGAAATGGAAGACCGACAAATTCAATATTCAAGTGTTGGGGAGAACTGTAAGTCAAGCTTTACCTGAATGAGACATCTTGTAATTTTCTGACAGAGACTTGATGGCTTTGGATTGGTGAGACTCAATTAGCGCCCAGGCCAAGCTCAAAAAGCAGCTCTCTGGGACTTTCTGAATGGTGGTGTGAAAATCTGGGTCAGTGAGGCTAGGAGAGCATCGAGGATATCATCCCAGGGGTCTAAGCTCCCTCTTGCTTCATCAATCGCTGACAGTTGATAAGGCAGACGGAAATCTTGGCCCTGGTTACTATAGCTGGCAGTCCAGCTTGCATATCCATCGATTCCAATCCTGGTATTCAACTCTGTCCATTGCCCTACCAAAGCCAGAGACCAGCCAAATACCTAGTCTGGCAAAACAGGGTACTATATTTGGCCTAGCAACAATTTGCACACTTGCATCGGAATGAACCAAGTGCTTCCTTTCTGACGATGCCATGCAAGGGAATGGTGCTAATTACATTCCGTCACTTGTTATTTTTGGAGCATCTCTTTTTTTCTTGCGGTCCACCTCTCATACTAACTTCAGCTCTTTAGTTTTGATTCAAGCAGATGTTCCGCTGCCCAGTCTATTTTTAAACAAGTCATCTCGGTTTGAGATCCATCACCTCTTGTGTTTTATGAAGGCCAAATCTGACAAGGCATATTAGCAACACAGCAGATACAAGGTAATTAGCGCCGTACACTGTTCTAGCATTTGTTCGGAATGGTTCTTCTTCACCAGAGAAGCCATTTTCACTCATCCCCAAGGTCAGATGAATGAGATGTCCCACTGCGCAACAGGAACCTGACAACAGGGTGCTGTAATTACCGCTGTCCTTGATTTTTAATGGGCAATGAGTGCAGAAAACTTTCGTGTTTGCTTGCGAGACCCCCCCCCCCCTTCTTGTCCACTTTCCCCACCTCTAGCCCTCACTCCTCCTTGGGTCAGTCAGAAAACAGAGAGATCACTTCGTAAAGACATGTGAAGTGTGCTTGCGTGCCAGGCGGTTCTGTGGGAAGCGTGTATGCACACACACATACACTCAGAGCTGCTGCCAAACGGATGCATGTCAGTGCTATTTGGGTTGACAAGGGACCTACTTGTGGGCCTGAGGGCATAAAAGAGTGCAAAAGTAAAAATAGTCACCCTCTTCTGACTCTAGACTTCTCCAGTCTAGTGATGCAAAGAATTGAACACATTTTTTCATCAACATGTGAATCTCCCAGTGCATAGCTTTGAGATCACTTCTTATATTCGTGTGTACATCACAACCCTCTTCACTTGCGCTCTTTCGGCTCCCCAAAATGTTCAATACAGATGAATACATTTTCTTATTGGACCATAAATGTTAATAAGGTGATGCAATGTGTTGCAACCTCAGAAGGCCTGACTCTTTTGCCAAGGGCTTGGTGAGTGGGTAGCATTATTATCAGCCGTGAGCTTCGGAATATTGTTTGCATGTTCACCCCGTGCTTGCATTGGTTCGCTGTGCACAGTTCAAAATTGCATCCGGACAATTGTTAATTTAAATATTCTCAATTGTGTGTATGTGAACATTCAGTGACCTAAAAAAACACTTTCACCTTTGAGGGTCCTATACGATGCAGATTGAAATATTTGCTGTCACTGAAGGCTTAAACTCTATGTTTTCTGAATATATGCATAATTTTCTACAAATATTTCAGGAGTTTGTTATCTAGACCTGTATTCGTTTGTGAGCTGCACTTACATGACATTTGTGTATGTAACTATAGCCTTTTTTTAAATGAACATGAAGACAATCTTTCAGAAGCGAATGTTTCACAGTGCCTGTGTTTGAGCTCCGTGTTGACGATGACAAATGGAGGTGAAGGAGTAAAAACTCTACACTCTTCAGTTTGCCTACCTTCAGTGGTAAAACTGACAGATGCATGGAAAAACTTGTCTGTTATCACAACTCTGTCGAAAGGACACTGTGAGCAATGTGAGATAATGTGCAGTGTTCTTAGTGGAGCTGCCTTGTTCTGCACCAAATTGTAAGTTGGGACCGTGCCACGGTATGCAGAATGTTTGACAGATTTAAAGAGCCATCCTTAATTTTTGTTCCTCCCCCGAGTGCTGTGCAAACACCAGGTGAGAAAAAACTCCTGTCTAAATGAAAAGGGGGACGTTGCTCATCACTGTGTGTCATCAGGGTTTCTTTAATTCATGCTTTCTCTGTTGGAATGAGCAGATGAAGATAAAGTGATGGTCGTGCTCCACTGTGAAAACGCAGTCACTAATAAGTCTCATCCTGCACAATCAGGTAGATATCTTGATGGTTTGTAGACCATCGGAGGGCCGGCACTCGATGAAATGGGCTTAAAAATGTGTAGCACATAAGGACTAGAATGCTGCAGCGAAATGAAGTCATTGACGTTCTTTCTCATTTCTTTTCAATTGTTTTTCTCATTTCCCTCGTTCTGAAAACCAACACAGAATCTATAGAAAATATCTTACTTTGAACAATGATTTGAGCCAAACGCTTTGTCTGTGTTCTATCCACATCGTTAACTATTGTCCATTTGACGTCTGCAAGAATGAGGTTTTTGATCCTGTGATGAACTTGTGACCTCAGCTTGTCTTTGTGAAAGCAGCTCGACCTCTGTGAGTCCAAGAACAAGATTTGACGTCCAATCTTGAGGCCTGGTGGTGTTTAAACTTTTAACATTTTTTTTTATGAATTCCCCAGTTTTTGGAATTGGATCCAGAAAAAAATGATAGTGTGTAATCTATTCAATTGTTCTCCAGCACTTTTAGCATAGATTTTCAGGTCTGTTCAAACCTTTTTTTTTTTGTTTAAATTCAAGTCTTTCTTGTTTTGTTTGCTGGATTGCTGTCCCCTTTTAATCTCTAGACTGCATGATTTCTTCTTATGATATTCTGGTTTACCGGTCTGACAGGTTATACCTAAAGTAGTTTACACACACAGGAAGTGACATAGGCAATTCAACCAAAGCACATTATTTTAACAATGTTTTGCAAATGATCATTATGGTTTCAGCCCCAAAAACAAATGATCATTTTTCGACGGCTACAATTCTGTCTCAACTGTAATAATCCATAATAATGGCAAACCCCTTTCTACACAAGTTAGGATTAACATAGCATTTTCATAGTAAACAACTTGTCTGAGTGAACAAATTGCCTTGTTAGCGCAGTGTTACCACAACACCTTGAATGAAGGCCGTTGTTTAGAGAGGAATGTGTCAGCATCTATATGGATTAATGTGCACAGCACCTCGCTACGACAGCACCAGTTCTGACTTGCCCATAGAATATTGCTACAGCATTCTTTTCCGTGTCTGCTTGTGTGCTGTCTGTTATTTGTAATTCTGGGTATTAGAGGTAGCTCAACTGCCTGCCTTTCCTGATCCCTTTGAAGAAAATCACTGGTATCCTGAGCTATTTTCAGGAATGTTCATGACACGCGTGTGTCAAGCACACATCAATCCTCCAGAGAGAAGAGAGACTGGTGATATTTTTTGAGCTGAGCTTCGTTATCGGCTCATTGGTGATTTCTGCTCCAGGCTCCCACCGTGCCTGTTTATAAGTGTAGATTGTACTCTGACTTTGAAGAGAGATCATTAGCGCCAGGTCATGACTGATGGTTCAACAATATCTTCGGAGTGAATACGTTTGTCTGTTTTTCCCTGATAAAAACGAGGCATAGACTGAGGTGTGCAGAAGAGATGAGGTGATTGCTAGATGCCACTTCACTTAGCTGCATTTTAATTTTCAACGTCACCCGAGGGACACGAAACGGAAAAGAAAACCTTGTCTGAGAAATGAGTTTGGTGAAAGAGCCGGAAACACTGAGGTGAAGGAGATCCACTGGCAGATATTTAAGAACAAATCACCTGTGCAAAAGCCGGGTCTTCCCCTAATGGAAATCCATATTCATCTTGTACCTGATTTGTCCCAGGAGGTTTCAGATCTGTCCGATTCCACGCCGTTTTATCTTTTTTCCCTTCCTCATCAGTCGTTATCCTTGCTTCCTGCAGGCAAAGATGCTTTCATTAAATTGCTCCGCCATGGAGACCTCAGCCGCATATGAAGTGTGTTGTAAGATTATTAATGGCAGTGCAAGAAGTACCCGTATGAATATGTAGATAAGCCCAGTGCATATGGTTTTCATTCGAACTGGATTGATTCCAATCGTCTGTGTCTAGTTTGACTGATGGCTCCATCTGTATTATTTAATATGCTTGAGGCCTGTCCCTCTCTAATAATGTTTGAGCACATACAAAGTCATCCGCTTTCACTCTATAATTAGTAGGCGATCCATGTTTCTTCAGTGACATTCATTGGAATGACTCCTTTGTACCAAAACATCACAAGCAAGAATCCCGGAGCGCCCTACTTTCTGCTGCAAGTTTTCCGAGTGTTTACTTGGTTCTGCTGTCCTTCACTAAAGGGCACCTTCAGTTGTGATGCAGCGAGAGAACATGGAGACGCACACATGCGATGGCGAGCTAGATAAGAGGAATGAAATATTACAGAAGGAAAGATCATATTTATTAAATCCCCTTGGCCGGGGCTGGACCCAAGCCAACTGTTGCTGTTCACTTCATATCAGCCGTAACGAGTCTACGGTGGATGAATGAGTGCACGAGACGTTTGTAAAGATAAAAGAAGATTGCATATTAAAGGAGCGTAAGGGAGCCATATTAAAAACAGAAGCAACCTCTGTA